TTGTTGTTGTTGTTGTTGTTGTTGTTGTTGTTGTTGTTGTTGTTGTTGTTGTTGTTGTTGTTGTTGTTGTTGTTGTTTATCATGTTGTTTTGATTGTTGTTTGTTTGTTCAGGACCGAGTTTGATCACAAAAGAAGGTTTTTTTGATCCTAATATTTCATCCGGTGGTGAATAATAACAACACGGTAAAAAGAACACTGCGGATTTCGTTGTACCGAATATTAAGAATAATACCACTCCACTAAAAATAATGATATAAAAAATTCTTTTTACAATTAATTGTTATTATTATTTTTTTTTTTTTTTGTAAATTTAACTCAATATTTACCTTGAAGAACAAATAAAATCGGAAACGTAATATGATTCATCACGATCCCCATCCGTTGAAAATTGTGGTTTTGTTAATATGACCGAGATAATATAAGTAGTTGTTAAACAGATATAAGATATTATATAGATGCTAGATCTAATCGCATACCCCAATCTAATTGCTGTTAAACGATTATGACATTTTTCAAAATTTTTCCAACGAAAAAATAAAACGTATAACGAATGACCTAAAAATAGACAAACAAACAAACAAACAAACAAACAAACAAAATTGAAGAATCAGTTAAAATGATGATGATTAAAGATGCTTTGGACAATTTTATATATATATATATATATGCACACACATATACTTACACACGAGAACTAATGACGCCGCCAACGATATACTAACCGCAATAAAACCCGCAATAAAAAGATCCAGCCCATCATCCAAACGAGGCTTACAATAATACCGGGTAACCATAGTACCCCGAAATCTTTTATTTCTATCCATAAAAACAATTATCAATGCGTAGGCTAACGCACCACCCCAAATAGAAATGGTGAAATACCAAAAACATGTTTTCTCGATACTCAAATCATTTTTTGATATTGCGTACCATTGATAAATTGCTAAAACTAAAGGAATTAAACATGCGGGGTATATAACGAATTGTGTCATACTCTTTTGTAGTATACAAATTAATGTTTTTGTGCTGCCGTCAAATGTTTGATCCATTAAACCATCACCATAAATTGTTATTGGAGTAATGGTAAAAATTTGAAGTAATAAGAGTACAACGCCTATTTGAAAAATTGTCCATTTCGTAAAGTAATATGGTGATTTGATTAATGAATATAATTGAAGTATTGTTGAAATCATACTTGCAACTGTTATGCTAATGAAAAGCGACGTTAAAAGTGAATATGTTGGCATTGTTGACGTGTAATTTTTATTTTAATATTTAAAAAAATTTTTTTTTTCAAAACACAAAAACTCTCCTTTTAACACAATTTATAGATAGACATTTTATTGTTCTAATGGTTTTAACGGTAATGCACCAATTAATAAAAATCTTCATTCATTAACAATTCGAACTTTTCCAATTAGGGAAAAAACCGTAAATATTATCCGAATAAAGGGTATCATCAAAAATTCAATGCATAATAATAAAAAATACAATTCAGTGCATGCATGCTATCGAAAATAAGCACGAGACAACGTATGATCTCTGTTTTCTAAACAAAATGAAAATAATTATAAAAACGACGTGCATGTATAAGTCCTTTCTTTATTTATTTTACTCTGGACAAAATTCTAGTGGTCTTAAAAGCTTTGCTACACGAGGTACAATACTTTCTATCCTATTTCTTAATATTTCATCATCGGTTGTAATCTCCTATTATTGATTGTTGTACTTTGTTGTTAATGATGATGGAAAAGGAAAATCACGCAACTAACAAAAAACAAACAAAAAAAAAGTAAACGTACCAATGTTCTAATATTAACTTCGGCGATCATATTGTCCACTTTAATAATAATCTCTTCATTTGAATCCGTTTTACTTATTGCATCACCGAATTGCTTTTTAAAATAATTTTCTGCTATTTGCAATGCTGAAATCTTTGTTGTCGTCATTTTCTCTGTTTTATCACCGTCACCTTCCGATTTGTCGGTATCCATTGCGTCGTGTTCATGATCTTCCAGTATATGAGTGTGATGCGGAGGACTTGTAACTAAAAAATTAAATTAAATATATTGTGAAACATTATTATGCCATTAAGATATATATATGTGTGTGTGTGCGTGCATATATATACCTTTTACAGAAGCAGGACTGCTCTCAATATTTAGAATAACTGCGGATACAGAGTCAGCAATTTTGTCGTTCATGGATGTTCCCAACCATTCAAGCTGCACCTGATTTTTACCAATGTGTCTAACTTTTACCGAGTCTAAGATCTTGAAAATATAAATATATATAATTATCAATTAATTAATTAATAATAAATTACAATTTATTTACGCAAAAATGTTAATAAACATACTGTTATAGTGGGCACATCCTCACTATCTATAATTTCTTCAAGCACGCCATACATTTTTTTGCCAAAGATGATGCATAATAAATTGGCACCGATTCCAATTCAGGATGAGCTTCCCAATACTCATCAAGAATCAATAATAATTCTTGTGCACGACCCAATGCATAAACTGGCATTAGACATCTTCCACCACGTTGTACGATATCATGAACAAGACCTATATTTAAAAAAGTATATGTAAATAGTTGAATAATTATAATTTATTATCATAATAGTTGGATGTTTATCTACCAGTAAATCTTGCTTCTTTTTCTAATCTTGGTTCATGACTCTGTACACCATAAGTGGATTCAGTAATCAATACATCAGATTGAGTATGAGGAAGTTCAGCTGCCATTAAATGTCTATCTTCTTCTCTTGAATAATCCCCCGTGTATAATATCTAATAATATAATGTATATTTTAAAATATAGGAATGTCATTTTATTTCACGAGAAAAAATAATAAACTATTTTTTTCATCACTTTTCACTCTACTCTATAAAACAACATTGTTACATTTACTACTATTACTCTTACTAACTTTAACACCAGCTATTTCAATTAAAAACATAGCAGCACCTAAAACGTGTCCAGCATTATAGCTCGTAAATTTTATTCCTTCAACCTCAACTTCTTGATGGTAATCTACTGCTTCAATCTTATCATAGCTACGTTGTAGATCTTTTTCATCATAAAGCATATCATCTAGAGCAACATTACTAATGATGATGATCATGGTTATGATGATAATGTTAATATTTTTTCTGCAAAAAAAAATTTCCCGAAATAATTGAAGAATAAACAAATAACTTTCATGTTGTTAATTACCTGATCCTCACATAATCAGATAATA